AAAAAAAAAAAAAAAAAAAAGAAAAGAGAGGTCAGGGTGATGGGGAATTCCATGGGGATAAACTGGGGGGGTGGGGTGTTGGGGGACAGAGGTTGGATTTGTTGGGGAAAGGAAGGAAATGCTGGTGCTGTTCATTTTGCATTTCAGTCAAAAGGCAGAGGCCAAAGAGGTACCGCAAGAGAAAGGGGCTGGACGATAAATAAATGCAATAACTATCAGTAAATACACGAAAACAGGCTGGTAAACGTCTCTGTTTCCGAAAACCCCAAATGAAAGCTGCTTGCTACAAACCACGAAGGGAAGCAAAGACGCCTTCCCTCCCTCCCAAGACCCTCGTCTCCTCCTCAGGCTCAAACCAAGCTGTCCCCGCGGTGGGCACCCGTAACTCGGTCCAGGAGGGGACCCGTGGCACCGGCACCAGCTCTGCTGGGCAGAGTCCCCGCCATGGTGACGGTTAGTTATTGGCCGTGCCAGAGGCCATGGAAGAGGGATATTGTTAATTAAAACGGGGCTGCTGGGAGGACGCTGGTGGGGAAGGTGATACCCAAGTTTATTTATTAATTAAAGAAGCCAGGCAGGGGATTGCAGTCGGCGGAGCAGGGCCCGCTCAGCAAGGAAACAGCATTGACTGCTCGACTGGGAGCAGGAGCAGGGATGGGAGGAGAGCAGGGAGCAAAGATCTGCCTTCACCCCCCAACCCCGGGAGGTCAGAGAAAGTCCCAAACCTGCCACGGCACAGACGGCTCAGGTCTGGATCTTCCCAGCGAGCTGTGAGTTTGGAAAGGCAGAGCCTCTGCTCGATGCCTGTGCTCACAGTCTGCTGTGGAAAGAGAAGGGAACGTTTTTTTTTTTTTTTTTTTCTCGGAGAGGCAAATGATCTGTTTGCTGAAAGCCGTGGGTTTGGGCCGATGAGGTTGTTGGCAAACGGTGCCGAGGCTGGGGCCTGCCCCGGGCTGAATGTGCGCCTGGGTTTTCTGGAAAACGTCACAGCAGCGTTTCCAGAACCAAACATTTCCCTCTTTATCATCTCAGAATGGCATTTCCCACCCCAGAAACTGGTCTGGAGACCAGAGCCACCACAAACGGTGGGTCCTCGCCGAAGCATCCCACCTTGCGATGGGACCAGACGCGCCTGACACCAAGCTCCCGCGGAGACAACGACCAGAGGAGATGCTGCTCTGCCCGATTTGCAGAGTGGGGAAGCGACTTGTCCCAACGCATCCAACAGATCCTTCACAGCATCAAAAAAAACCCCACCCCAAACCCCCCAGATTCCCAGTTTTCAAGCTGACACGATGATGGTTAAAACAGGCTCCTGGACCAAAGGCTTCGGGCAGGAGCCTGCTCTGATGGCACAGCACCAAGGTGGGGGTAAATCCAGATGTCACGACACGGACACCTCCGTGATGTGACCCCCGTGGATAATTAAAGCCAGTAAAACCACATTTTACAGGGGGGATTTGAGCACCGGGGCTGTACCAGCGGTCTGTGCTGCTCTGCCGCGCGGCTGAACCAAACCCAAAAAGCATAAATAGAAAATATCGAGCACATGTTGGGAGGAAATGTTTCTAATATGGTATAAGGGACCGAGTGATAAGGGTGCATCTGGAGTACTGTGCCCAGATTTGATCACCTAAATATGAAAAAGGACATTACAGAGATGGATAATGGCACAGCAGGGAGCAACTGGAATGACTCAGGGACTTGGGGAACTTAAATAGAAAGGCTGGGAAAAAAAAAAAAAAAAAAAAAAAAAAAAAAAAAAAAAAAAAAAAAGAAAAGAAAAAAAGTAGGTCTGCATCCTTTGGAAAGTATTAAAGGGGGAGCACACAGTGGTGAGGAAAAGATTGTGAAGGGAATAGAAGGAGTAGGAGCTACTGAGTTATTTAAGCTCGTGCTAAGTGCAGGAACCAGAGGTTATGAACTGGAGGCTGAGGAAATATCGGGGCGGGCGGGCGCTGCGCAGGAGGCTGAGGCGAGCAGCAGCTTCGTTAGGAGCCAGCAAATTGTGTCATTAACACAAAAGGTTGTTGTGGGAGGGTGTGAGGACAACACGGCGGTGTGGAGAATAACCCGGTGTGGGGAGCGGGGTGGGGGACACACACACACACGGTGCTGGTGTCCCCTGTGAGACAAGGTCGGGAAATTGCTGCTGCTAACGGCGGTACCTAAACCACCGGTAATTTTATGGAGGATCATCGTTAACCTCCTGGCGGAGATTTAAATGGAGTGATGCCCCGAATCCGCCTCTGCTCCTCTTCAGGGCGCTGCTCGGGGTCACTGACGTGTTGCGAGGGGAAGGGGGTTTGGGTTGAGATAGAAAATACATTTCCCTGGGAGTCAAAAGTGCCCACTCCCCGCCCGGAGCTCCCCCAGGACACAGAGCGGGCCGGGGAGCTGGAGCCTGGTCCCAACTGTCCCTCCTTTACTGGGAGCACCCGGGAGGTGCCTCCCGATCCCCCATCTGCTCTTTCCTGCTTCTCCGAGCAACAAGAGGACCTTGGAGGCATCTCGCCACCCTGCCAAGGGGCGGAGAGCGGAGCAGCCGTGGGTAAAACAGACTTTGCAGGAGCCGCGCGTGCGCGTCTGGGCACGATACCCTGCGCGTGCCAAGGGGGAAGGTTTTCCTGCCCACAGGAAGGGTCTTGCTCCCAAAAATCTGCGTTTTTTTTTTTTTTTTTTTTTTCAACTGTGTCAGCCGGTGGGATGGAAGGTCTCACCCCGCCCTCCAACCTCGCCTTCAAAAGGTCAGAATTAATTGCGTCAGATGAGGAAGGTGCCTCGGGATGGAAGAGTGGTCGGGCTCTGCGCTCCGTTCCCAGCCACAGCTTCAAAGGCAACGAAGGTTTTTGTGCCAGCTACCGAGAAGATCTCGTTAAAATGAAGACCGTTTGCAGAAAAGGGATCCTGGCTCATATTTTACCACTTAATAAGGCCAGGCCAGGGAGAACTTCACTCCGCTGCCTCCACAGGGGATGGTGGATGCCCACGATCCTCCCAACCTGCCAGCTCCGGGCTCGGTGGGATCCAGAGGAGCCATCCCAGGACTCCTGCATGAATTCTGCTCACTTTTACAGACAAGAGTTTATGTTTAAAAAAGCCCCAATGCCCTGTCCAGACGTTTCAATCTGTGCTCAGGGCAGAGCTGTGATTTCAGTGCGACTGATTTACACTGATGTAAGTGGGACGAGAGCCTGTTCCCATGTTTATAGGCCCTGGGGTCATTAAGAAAACCAGCCAAATGTGACAACCGCATCATTTTCCTCTGCAGCCTGAGCAGCCCCAAGAAGAGGCTGTGGGAGAGGCACAATCTGCCCCAACTCCTTTGCTTCGGGCATGTTGTTTCAAAAGTCTGTTGATGCTGAAGCCTAATGACAACCGTCTGCAGCTCAGGGGCTTTCACTGCTGTGCTCATGCTAGGTGAAACCTCCTGCCACGCTAAGCGCGGGGGACTGTGACAGGAGGCGGGCTGCGAGGCTTTTTTTTTTTTTTTTTAATTTTCTAAGTAGAGGAATTTTGCTCTGTTTGTATTCAACTGGTAAGCTCGTGCTGCAGCAGCAGCCCCGAAGCCTGTCCAGCGCAGAAGGCAGGGATTAAGCAGCCTTGAGCAGAGCAAATGGGTGTCTTGGCAGGAGCAGCCTGAAGCTCTCAGCTGGATTTGCTGGGCTGCTCCAGCATTGTGGCATCCTTGTGGTTCTTAGAAATGAGAAACAATAGTTTCCCATTAGCCAAATGCTCATCTGGCACTTCGGCCGTGTGATATAATTAAGAAATAGCCCCTTCCCTCCCTCCCTGCAGCCCGGCCCTCTGCTCAAGGACTCCCGTCATCTCTTTCTCGCCCTTGGTCCAGTTGGACAGAAGTAGAAATTACCAAGGCAAAAGGCACGGGGGGGGGTGTGGGGTGTGTGTCCCGGCGCTGCGATAACCTTTCCCTCTTGAAATGCAGCCCAGCATTTCAGAAGCAAGAGTCTAAGATATTATTTAGTGTAAAACCAGACACAGGACTTAAAGCAATCATGACAATGCTAATAACTAAGCCAGTTATAACAATTAACAACAATTACAACCGCTGGGCAGATGCTAATGAGTACGAGCAGGGTGTTTAAATGACTGGCAGGGCTGTGACAGGCGAGAGCCAAAATCCTCGGGGTGGCCTTGGGGTGCAGGTTCAGTGTCACCTCTGGCACCAGCCCATCCCGGAGCCGTGCTCTGCTCCCCGCTGAGCCCCACCTTGAGCTGGAAAACCCACGGGGGGAGCTGCTTTTCTGCCGCCTGGTCCTTTGGATGTTTATACGCCGGGGCAGTTGTGAAAGGCAAAGAAAAACGCACGCGCGCGTGTGTGTGTGTCTGTGTGTGTGCACGTCCCATCGCCTTCTGCCTTCCTTAGGCCATGCCGAGGAGGCTCCAGGAAAAGCTGCAGTCCCGCTTTATGACCACGATACAGTTTATAAAGAGCGGGGGGACGCCGTTTTTTTCCGAGCTCTGGGTGCTGGTACCGGCTGCAGCTGCCACATGCTCCAGTGGCCAAATAAGTCATCGTGCCGGGGTTGGTGGGGTGGTGGGTGGGAAACCAGCTCTGCAAAACCACAAGGAGTGGAGAAACGCTGACTTGCAAGCAGCTGGGACTCAACCCTGTCTGTGCTACCAAGATTTCAGTAGAAACAGCCCTCCTGGGCTGGGGACAACTGCCCAGGAAACATCCAAGGGGGGCTGATGTTGGCTAAAGGGAATTGTTGGATCAGGCTTTTCAGAAGCACCAGGAGATTGGGCACAGGGGCTCTCGGGCTGCTGGGAGGGGTAAACCAGCTTGGGGTGCTCCAGCATTCAAGAGAGTACAAGCATGTGTGAAGCTTTAACCACCCACCATCCACAGCATCCAGCACCGAACCCCTCGGGTCTCCATCACCCAACTAACGGGATGCCTGCTGTGGGTCCCCGGCCGGGCAGGCACCCCACGAGCTGAGCATCACCAAGGTGAGACCGTCCCCTCCGAGCTCTGAGAGGGAGGATGTCTTGGGAACCTCTCCCGAGCCGGGCTTTGCCAGGAGGATGTGTTTCCCCAAGCAGGGTGGCAGGAGGTCCCCGGCCAGATCAGCCCCGGCTGTTGGACACCAGCGCCGTTTTCCTGTGCCGGGGAGGAAGCGGCAATGGAAAGTGAAGCAGGTGGAATCGGGGAGGAAACAGATCTTCCGCTCCCGTCCCACGGTGCAGGTCCTTAAGGAAAAAGCAAGGGTGGGGGCCCTGGCGACCATGGCAGGCTCTTGGGCTGCCGGCGCTGGTTCCTGGGGTGGTGGTGCGCATCCTTCCGGCTTCCCGCGCCCAGATCCCTCCCCGTGGCGGCTTCCTCTGGGCTTTGGCTTGCTTCCTGCCCTCTTTCCAGGCTGTTTCTGCCCCAGTGCCTCTCCCCAGCCCCATGGGATGTGTCGGGAGGGCTGGCTCCCTCTCCGTGGTCCAGGTGGGATGAGGGGCAAGGACGGGTGAGCCTCCGTGGGAGATTCAGCAGCGGGCAGGAGGGGGGATGGATGGTGGGTTCCTCCGCGGAGAGCTCACTAAGGCAACTCCCCATGGGGTGTCAGTCCGAGAAGGAGAGGCAACCCCCATTCCCACAGCATGGAGAAGATGGGGTGAGCTCCCCGAGCCCGAGTTGTCTGAACTTCACCAGCTGCAGAGTCTTCTGTCAGCCATTAGTCTGCTCCTGGGGCCTCTCCCAGTCTCCACACACCCTCCATCACCACCCACACCCCAGGATGCTTGAAGACGGCTGGACTCAGACCCCCCCCAACCATCACTTGGAGGTCCTTTGGGTTGGCCAAAGCAGGGCGGGCTCTTACCAGTTTTCTGTCTGCGGCCAGCATCCTCCGGGTCCTCTGGGAAGGGGGGTTCCAGCTCCTCATCTGGGGGGGGGAAGTAGAACAGAGAAGTCAGGGGAAGGGCTGGCGGTGTTACTGCTGCATCAAACCCCCAGGCAGGCAGAGGGCTGCGAGAGCATCCGACTGTCAGAATAATAAATTCCTGGCTTAATTGTGAAGAGTGGAAGGGAGGAAGTCACAGATAATATTTTAAAACGAGTTGCATAAAAATATGAATTGTTGTTAACACTGGTAAAAACAAATCACTTATTATAGCCTCATAAATTTAAGCAGCACTTTGCCGAGTGCCCTATAGGAAGAGATGCTTCCTGTGCAGGACTCGCAGCCCAGAGAAAATGAGACACCGAGGAGAAATGCCAGGACAGAGAGGAGAGGAAGGATGAGGGACAGAAGCAGAAATTAAGGAGGAGAAAGAGGAACCCAGGCAGCGGAGGGCAGGGTATGGAGGATGGGGAAAGAGGATGCAAGAAAATAATAAGAAATACCATGGAAAAGGTTAAGGACAGAGGGGTTGGAAGTCATGAGGAAGCCCCACGAAAACACCTAGAGACTGATGGGAGCAAGGATCTACACATAAGTAAGTTTAAATAAGATTATTTAACACCAAACCAGGTACAACCCGTCCAGCCTGAGCTGCTCTGGGCGCGGGGACAAGTTGGGTGCACAGCACCCACGTTAGCTGCTGTCCCGGCACCGCCTTCCTTCTGCAGCCACAAAGACTAGAAGCAAAAAAAAATAATAACATCCATAAACCCCAATTCGGAAACGTTTCAGAAAGCCAACGCTCAGGCAAGTTGCTCGCCTGCACCTCTTGCCCCCGCTGCTGGCAAAGGGCTGTTGGGGAGCGTGGGGCAGCCCCGGCGCGGCCGCGGTGTCCCGGTGGCGCGTTGGGGGGACGTGGCTTTGCGGTCACCTTTAGGCAGAGCCAGAAGAAGCCAAACCCGGGACTTCTGCTGCTCCCACGACACCCGATCGCAGGGCAGGGACGTGCTGCTGCGCCCCGACACCTTCCGAGGACACGGCCCAAGCCTCAGCCATCTCGCCCCCCACCCTCCAACCC